AGGGGCATGCTCCAGGGTGGGAGAGCACTGGGTCCTCCATCTTAAGGGTTTTAAAGGTGGAGATTTTAGGGGAAGTTCCAGCAGAAGGTCTCAACAGAATATTCAGCAGCTTTCTAGGTGTGTCCTTTCAGAGCCTAGGTCTCCACTGATTGGTTGGCGCCAGGACAAGCGGGTCATTCAATGCAGCTGGCTCTCCGGTCAGCCATGGTGTCACTTGTCTGGTTTTGCTGCTTTTCTGGGCCTGGAGCTGAAATACAACTGAGGCCTAGATGTTGTCTCTAGGGACGAAAGGTCAGGGGGTCCAAGCCGCATGGCCAGTGGACCAGCGATATGCTAGGTGAGGAAAGGCTACCCTGGGGGTGAGGTCCTACCCGACAGTTGTCCTTTGCTAGGCACCTGGGCCTTTCCGCCCGGGTGACCTTCTGTTCCTGGCCCATTGTCCTCGCTCTGCTCAGGTCTATCTGCCTCCCACATTCCAATCCTGCAGCTCAAGTCAGGAAGGCACTGAACGGTCATCGTGTCTGGCTGGCTTTTGCATGAATTTCTCTGACGGCTTTGCTTTAGGAGGATGTCAACAGTCCCCGTGTTGAAACTGAGACCTAAGTCCCCTGTGCTTGGGCTTCGCAAGCTGTGCCTTTGTTGATTGCTGGTACCCTGGATACACAGAGGCCTCGTATTCCTTCTAGAGCAGCTCCCTCCCACCCAACAAGAGGAACCGAACCGATGATGCGAGTTCTAACAGTGCTGTTTTGATAATTTCTTATAGTTCCTGTTTAAATAATTTTGCTGGACAATGGGGCCTTGTTAAAAGTCTCTTTTTTATTGGTGAACTAAGCCCCCATTTCTGGGTGTGAATCTGTATGTATCGGTATCCATAAAAGGCTGGGGACAAGCTTGTCATTAAGTGAGTTGATAGCCATTGTTCACCAAGCGCACACGGGGGCCAGGAGTTGGGGATAAAAGAGCGAATAAAAGACCCTCACATCGATATTTTAGTAACTGGCATCTCAAACAAGGTGAAAGAAGATTATACCATCTATTGCATAACAAATTAACCCCCAAATGGCTTAAAATAGCAAACATTTGATTTATATGGCCCTGTTCCTGTGGGTCAGGAATGTGGGAGTGGCCTCAGCTGGGTGGCGCAGGCTTGGGGACTCTCCCGTGACTGCAACCTGACCGGGCAGAGGCCTCAGTCACCCGGAGGCTCACTGAGGCTGGAGAACCTTTTTGAGGATGGTTCTCCCAATGGCGGTGACAGGGAGCCTCAGCTCCTTACCCACAGGTGGCCTGAGTGTCCTCATGACGTGGCAGGTAGCTTCCCCCAGAGTGAAGGAT